TAGTAATATTCTCCCCTTTATTGCAAACCTACTGCTATCGGGGCTCACTATCTGTTCCGAAGGTTTTCTTTCCCTGTCGTTGCTGCGAACTTTTAAACGGTAGTAAAATATTAAGCTGTGGTTTAATATTTGTAGAATAGCCGGAGGGAACTTACTGTGGCCTTGAAAGTTACTGGTCTGTGCCCTTTACGTGAGGAGACTCAGGTGATTTGTTTATGGAGAAACCTGGGCTGGACAACAAATAAGGTAGCCTGCATAACAGTGTCTGTCCCCACAGGCATGCTCAGCTTAGGCTGTTCTGTAGGGCTGCAGGTCAGGCCACGCTTCCTTCCCCATCCAGAGTTGAGATTTCTGTGAGCTGGTTGATGGAATATTCCTGAAACAGACCAGTACAGTACATGTTAATAGAAGAGCCAGGAAAAAAATGTTAGATGTTTGTGGTCCCTCCTAGGCTCTATTTGGCTGTTAGGTTCATGGCAATATTTGGCTGATGCTTCTGTCCCCTCAACATCCTGATGAGTGCCCAGCTCCAGCTGCACGAATGGCTTTGTTATGCTAAATCACCGTCTGTGGGCCACTTCAAAAGACTGGATGTTGCAGATGTTGGCTGCGCAGCAACTTTAAAGACTCAGGATTTTCAACTTCTTTTCAAAATCAGCTATATAATTAATAAATTGAATGGCTTTGTAACTGCCCATAAAGGATGAGGGAGTCAAAGATCAGTTTGTAGAATATGGCTTACTGATAAAAGTTGATTGTTCGTTTCATGTTTTTCAGAGGTACTTAATAGTGAGCTTCTGTCATCTCTGTGTCAAGAAGAATGTATTTTGGTCAATAATACCAAGTATTGCAAATAGGAAAATAGATTTTGCTGCTTCTTTGCTGACTGAGATAATCAGTTTCATTTCACTACCTTAATCTGACTTATTTGAACTTGGGCTAGAATATCAGCTTTAATTTAATTTTCTAGCTAGCTTCTCTTTCAGCTTGCTGAAGAATGACAGGATGTTTGGCAGGAGTAGAAAGAGCCAATGTTTGCAGAAGGATTAGATTCTTCGCTGTTGGTAGTCCCTTATGTCATGCTTAAAGCAAAAATAATAATAATAATAAAAAAAATTCCTTTGGGCCATTGGCAACAGTTGGCAGGCATAATACAGTTTATTTGACTGTAGGGTTTAATCTTAAGGCTGTGGTATTTTAAGATGAATGAATATGCTGATTCTGGGAATACAGGTGGATTGTTGGTTGGTGTATATATGGGTGAGTTTAATCCACATTGCTTGAGAAGGTTTCCTGATACGATCTCTTCAGTGAGGTAGAATAATGGTTCTTCCCAGTCCTTTGCTCCCAAGCTGGTACAGGGAGGATTTCTGTTTGAATCTTCCTTCTGAAGAAAAGTCAGAGCTGCTTTAGGCACGTGTCTTAGCTAAATATAATAGCTAAAATATTTTTAGAGGGTAGTTTATGCTCACTGTGGACATTTGGCTTTTTAACCAAATGCAGAAGTATCAGTCATTTTAAGAGATCTTCATAAGTAATTTTTGACTAGTTTATGACTCTTGAATTATTTATGACTTCTGATATCTGTGCACCTCCATCTTTATACTGCTTGAAAGAACTGTATGGGTATTAATAGGCTTTCTCCTACATTTACGTTAAAAAAATGTTAGTGGAACTTTAAAGGAAAAAAGTTGATGCTTTTAATGAAAGCATTTGCATGCAGTTATATAATTGAACTTGAAAGTGCTCAAAGTTTGTCCTGCTTTTGACTACCAGCTGAATTATTTTACCATCATGAGGAAAGCCCAACTATTCTCTACCAACATTCTGGAAAACCTGTTACTAAGGGAACAACGTTTTATTTTTTAAAACTTTCCTTTGGGAAAGCAGAAGCTTTTTCTGACTCAGAAGCTGCTGGAAATGAGCCAAGACATGGAAATCAGCAGGTTTCTTGGGGGAGGTTAGGAATTCTCCAGGAAAACAGAATGTACTGGTCTATGTTAGCATAATTACTATTTAGAGTCTAAAATACAAGAAGATAACAGTGAAGATAAGTTCAAGCAGTTTAAAATACACTGTTTATGTGAACTAAGTTATACAACTAACACAGTTTTGCCTCCATATGTTTCTAGGGCCAAAAATAATTATCTGTGCTGATTTCTTAGGTGTTCGTGAGTTGAATGTTAAACTAATATTTGGAGTTTGTTTTCCTGTCCCCCACTCCCTAGTTTCTGAAGAGAGGGTTTTTCAGAGGTGCTCTGAACAGTCACAGAGCTACTCAGTATTAAACTCTCACATTTATGCTACACATATCTGTTTGTTTGATAGAGTCATCGCAGCTTTGCAGCTTTCTGAGGAGCACCAGCTCTAAGACAGGAGGAAGATCTGAACCTGCTAAGCAGTCGCTTAAGAAACCGAAGTTACCAGTAGGTCGATTTGATGAACCAGAGGAGTCCAGCATAGAGAGGGAACCCCTGGAAAGTAAGTCATGTTTTGTAGCATTCGCTGCATATCAAGGTGCCACGATTAGATCACTGGTCAACCCCAGACCAGGGAAAGAGACAGATAACACACACAGTGTGAGCGCCAACTTCCGCCTTTTATTGCGCAGTCAATTCCTTTTATACTAACAAGGGTAGGCGGGATTACAGACACATCATAAGGCTGCGACTAACCCTCTAACTTTCCGTGACATCGCGAGATCTTCTGAACGCCGAACCCTACAATGTTTTACAAAATTGAAAGCCATGTTTTAAAGGCAAGACCCTGAGATGCAGTGCTGATGTCAGTTTAAGAAGAGGTGTAGGCATTCAGCACTTCAGAATCGCTTTCTAAGCTTACTGGCTCTGAAAAAAACGAGGCAGCGCAGCAAATGGTGCATGGGGGAGAAAGTCTTCAGAAAAAGGGTGGTCAAACACTGTAACAAGTCACCCAGAGGATCTGTGATCCCTCTCCTCTTGGAGATACTCCAGTTCGCCTGGATGTCCTGACCTAACACCAGCCTTTTAAGCAGGGTTGGGGCCAGATGTCTGCCAAAGGTGCCTTCCACCGTAAACCGCTGCACGATTCTGAGAAATGTAGCTGGTACTGGTCTATTAAGTACAGCTGTAAATGGTGGTAGTAAACTCATGAGGGCACCAGCTACTTTTAATTATCCAAAAAGCCTGTTGTGTTCCTTAGTTCACAAAAGATTTCTGATTCATGCTGTATTTCATGGTCAGTCTTTCTCTCAGTCTTGCAGGTAGCGTTTTGAAAAGCAGCAACAGATAATGAGTTTGCTGAGCCACTCGGTGGGGTCTAGGGAGACCTAATGAACTGCTGTTGGTGTTGCGTTCCAGTCACCTTAGTGGGCTGCATTCAGAGGACCTGACAAGATTGAGGCACAGATATATTGCTGCTGAAGTCACTAGGAATGTATACTTTTTTTTATCAGATGGGAGAAAGACAAAATCTCTTTTCTTCCTTCTTTTTAATTGGCCATCTTCTCTTAACTAAAAGTGCTAGTCATGCTTTTATCTTATTCACCATAGTGTGATATTCTGCTACTGTTTACCAGTAGTGATAACCATGTTTATCTATTTTGAGGTCTCTAGGATAAGCTTTTTTAATATATCAATAGATTACTATGACTATCCAGATGACAAAATGACTGAAAAATTATAGTATCATCTCTGAAATGGTTGCAAGCAATTTCAGGTTGTGACTCACTTGAGAACTGACTCAGAGTTGGAGTTACTGTATAAGCAGCTATTTAATTCTTGTCCTTTATTCCCAAGAAAATAAATGTCATCACTGCTTCATTTAGAATGAATGCATAATTATTATCTTTTGCTTTTCACTTGGGTGTTCTAGGTTTTAGAGCAAGACTCAAGGTTTCTTTTGGCTTCAAATGTAGTTGTACATTCTTCACATGTAACACTAGTAATAGTTTGTTAGGCTGCTGACTGCCCATTGTGTTGTTAGGAAAAAACGTAAGAGTTTAAGCGGGCTATTTGAATTCCCGCTGCTGTGTAGCTATTGTGGACAAATCTTCTGAGCTTCTGCATCCACTGTCAGCACATCAGTAGTGCTTGGATATTGGGATGATGACATTGACAAAATAATATTAGATGCATTTGCACTCCTTCTACTGCCAGAGGTGCTCAAATAGTGACATTTCCTATCCTGGTCTGCATGAATTTTTAAACAGGCATCCCAATATGTCATTCTGTATAGCCTGTAGCTACGTGAGTCTCCCTCCATCACTGTCCTTTTTCTCTGCTCTCCAGGGTTTCTGTTGTTGTCTTTCCTCATTTTCAGCCCTGCTCCTCATTACTTGTGTTGCCCACCAGGGCTGAAGTAGGGATACAACTGAGGGAGCCCTGAGTTACACATATATATGGGAGGCCCTGGAGAATCAGCGTGTCAAGGGGATGTGTGGGGTACAGTGAGCTTCAGGGATACCTGCAGTCCAGTGCAGGGTGAGAAAACGCTCGGCCTCGGATGCTGCCGTGCCAAAACATACTTCGTGGCTTGGCGATGCCCAGTGGGATGGCCATTGTGCAGCATGGGTGGCCGGAGTTACTACTCTTAAGAGATGGCCCTGAGTAAGGGAGCACTGAGTAGCACAAGGATGTTGATTGTGAGGTGCAGAAAGCTCCAAGTAGGCAGCATAAGCTAGTAGGGTGCTGGGAACAAAAGAAGCACTGCTAATGTGTAAGCTTAGCACATCACTTAACAGAGAGAGCTGAAAGTCCAATCCATACCCCACTTAGGAAGAGTTTCCCTCTCCTGAAAGGGTGTTGCAGTGACTTAGTGAGCTTAATTTAAGCTTTAGAAGGTGAAAAGTCTAATTTTAGCTATTCGGGATGTTACAGTACTTCCTGTGACTGTGGTATCTCGTCTGGTGTTGATGAATATCAATATGCTACTTCTTGAAAAACGTACCAGTATCCGTGAAAACATGGTGTTTTAAATACAAGAATAATAGAATTTTAACTAAAATTCAAGCTAAAAATTAAAAACGTGAGTGCTTAAAATTAGAGACCTAAACAAACACAGAAAGTGACCTGGTGTTTTAGATATAGTGAACATACGTACAGCATACCTGAATGACACAAATTCTCACTGGGAATTGATGAGAAACTGCGGTGCTTTGGTGCCTTTGGGCATTGAGTTGCTTTTTTATTTGCATAACTGGATATGATCGTACATATTGCTGCCTGTAGTCGAAACACTCTCTGAAATTACTTTTGGATGACTCTGGGAAATGTTTAACTCCAGGTTGTCTTTAAAAACAAAAAGAGAATTGATTTTGTATTTGAAAATTAAACTAAGAGGCAAACATTGTAGATGGTGACATCTTTGTGTTTGTCAACATTATAGGCATTTTAATGAACTTTCCCTGTCATTTTTAGAGTTCCCTGATGGAATCAATCCTGCTACAAAAGAGAGGGGTGGACCTAGAGGCCCTGAACCTACACGTTTCGGAGACTGGGAGAGAAAAGGACGTTGTATAGATTTTTAATGTGTAAATGTGTCTGTGTTGCTAATGTTTCTAGTTGCCTGGATTTGTTGTGAAGCTTGTTGTTTCTGTCATGCTTGTGATGAATTTTCTGAGAGATATTATGTAAACAAACATAATGCTGCAGCTCAGATTTTGGAGCTGTTATTTGCTCAGTGTCGACCTGATCTGTAATACTGTTTACCCTATCCAAGTATAAATGCAAGTATAGTGATGTGAAATGGATAGTTGGGATCTTACTGAGATATACAAGGGCTTGGATTTCTTTGTGTATTTAAGCATTTATGTAGTGTCTTAAAAGTGGTAAAAGAGCTTTACAGTTCATGAACCTTGACACTGTTATCCAAAGTACAGCCTCCGAGGAGGAGGAGGAGATCGGTACGTGACTGATCTTAGCACAGTGGGTCATTGGTAAAAGTCCCCTTAATCAAGAACCATCCCCTCTGCCTCCGTTAGAGTGGGTTGGGGTTCCTTTCCTGTTTGTGGAGAAGGGATGGAAATGCCGTTTCATCTCGTCTCAGGCTGACCGCTGTAAATGGCATGACAGAAATGCAGGCTTAATTCCGAGAGGGTCAGCCCGTGATTGCAAGTAGTGTTGGGGTGCTCTGTATGCAGTTTTAGAATACTGTTCGTTATAACCTAGCTTATTACATGCTATTTGCATTATCTTTTCCTTGATTCATGGAGATGCCTGTTTGAAAACTGGCTAAATGCTGCTTGGGGAAAAATAACATTACTTTCTGACACCTTATGGTCGAAAGGAGACTGATTACATTAGATGATCTAATATTGCAGGTCTTTAAAACTAAGTTATCTGGCACTGAACTAAGTATCTTTCAGTCAGACTGAGCTCAGTTCTTCATTCAAGAATTTGCCTAGTTGTAAATAACTGTAGCAGAGTGTAAATCTACCACCTGTGGGGGTACTTATTAATAAGAATAAGCTGTCATTATTAAAATGTGTGAACATATGGTCTGTTTCTGTGCAAGTTCTTTTTGATAGCCTAAACAAATGGATCTTCTCCAGTCTTCAACTGTAAATGTTTTCTTCATCCCTTTGTGTTTCCTTCCTGGTGTTTTGCTGTTTTTTAACCTCTTCTCTTTTACTCTAAGTGCTCCAGTTTCTGTATTCACAGTTCCTGTTAGCTGCTTTTGCTGGAGCACCACAGTGGGCATTAAGATGGAACAAAAGTTTCTTGGAGAGCCCAGGACAGTCTCCCATTTTATTGCCTACATTTCTTTTTCCTCTATGGCTATTTTTGCCTTTTGCTATGCCAAAGCAGGTTGTACCCAAATGAAATTCAGCTTTACTTCATGATTTCTGTTGCTTTGCATTACTCTGGCTCTGTGTAGGAACACATGGCTTTGCCCAGCTTTGCCTTTTGTATGGTTTTATTGGAGCCTTAAAGTGTGCTAGTCCTATCACAAATCTGTACAACCTCCCAAAAACTCACCCGACTTGCAGCCAGTGGGAGAGCTCCTCACTGAGATCTGCCAGTTTGTGTACCCAGCGTTTGTTTTACTGACATAGTATCACACTAGTTGTGAGTTAAGATGTTTGACTCGCTGCGATGATGACCTGCAGAAGTATTAAGACTGTTCAGTTAGGTTTATCAACCAGGTACCTTGCTGAAGAGCAAAATGAGGTTTACTAAAGCCTGGTTTTGATAAAAGATGTTAAGTGGTGGTAATTGCGTTTTGAACCTTTAATCTTCTATAAATTTAAACTGCAGCATGGTTTGGATATTGGAAAACTGGTCTGTATTTATACCCAATTCATTCTAGTTTCCCTTCTGTAGTGTGACACTTGAGTTTTCCCAAAATCTATTGGCATTTTCAGTTACCAAAAAATATGCTGGGTCAGCTATCTTTAATGTATGCTGCTTATTATTTCTAGTAATGCTTTGCCTCCTTGGTTGCTAGTGGGTTGGAAGATCCTTCATCACACAATACACCACCTTTTCAAATAGGAAGCAGGAGTTTTAATTGGAAACTTGCCTTTTCTGCATCGTTATTAATAGGCTTAACATCTTAATTAGTGAAGAGGCAGTAACGCTACCATGGTTACTTTATTTTTGAATTCCAATTCTTACTCTCCTTATCCATGGATTGTTGCATGAGTTTGTTATCTTCTCTTACCAGGTTTTACCCTTCCCAGCATGCGCTCCATGAATGGTTACCCAGTTCCACTTCTTGGCGTTCCTGATTTTCGATTCTGATTGCTCCCTTCAGCATAGACTGCCCCTGCAGTCCTCCCTGGCTGCTGAATTGCACCTTTTTGATTTGGCATATAAGGAACTGGTCTCACTTTTCCATGGTTTTCTTTCTGTTTCGGTTAGTTACCTTCAGTCTCCCCCTGCTTTGTGTTGAAGGGCTGACCCAAGCGCTGTCCAGGCCCCTGCCTCTCTGCTTTCATGCGGGTGATGACTGCCGCTGTTGGAGCCACTCATTCCGGCCTGAGCTTGGGCAGGTCCCTGCCCGTATCTGTGGAGGACCTGGGTTTGAAAGATAGCTTGGAGAGCGCTGTCTGTACCGAGAAGACAGAGTGCCTCATGAAGGCAGGGATTTTGCTTTCTCCCAAAAAATAAAATGGCTCTTGCTAACCAGTGTTGTAAATAGCTGTCAAGGAGTTGGCACTCAGGAAACAGAGGATACCACTTCCGTCCTGAGGAGCTTCAGGCCCTTTTCACCACCTCCCAGGCCACTGCCAGTAACAACCAAGTACCTGCTTAATTTGGTTAGGGAGTGTGTCAGGAAGAGATAAGAAACTGAACATTTGGGCAAAATAACACGTAGCAGCCAAAGAGTGAGTGCCAGAGGGTGTTTCTGTGGGGTCTGCCCATCTGGCATTTGCCAAAAAGAGGAGCCCTAGGCTCCCGTAATGTGGTGCTGCAAAATCGCTTGTGGTACCTGTCAAAACCAATCATGGTTTGAATGCGACAACCAATACAATGATATCGTAGGGCATAAACGATCATTTCTGTTTTGTTTTCTTGCACTGTCTGCAGTTAGGAAGGAAGCACTTCAGCACTTTTTCAGTGCTGTCTTCCTGCTCTTCCCAGATGATTAATATTAGCAATTCACTGGGATATAGCATTAGGGTAAAGCGATGGCTTGTGGCAGTAGCCATTAGATTAGCTACAGGTATGTTTTTATCATAAATACTGATTGAATCTATTTTTTTAGCTCTTTTAGTTAGCAAAACAGTGTAAAGCAGCAGGGGTTATACCCATTTTCTTTTAAATTTCTGGGAGACAAAGGAAAATTGTTCTGCCTGTGTAAGCAAATTCTTGTAGTACTGGAGGATGCTTGCTCTGTTTTCTGTACTAAAAAGCTCTATGTTGCGTTTCTGTAGTAGGTTTTCTCTTTTAAAGTTAAACTTGTTTCTGCTAGCTTGCATAGCTACATTTGGTACTTTATTAAAATTATGAAGCATTTATTGTTTGAAGGAACTGCTCTGTAATTACTTTATTACAAAATCTATAAAGTTGCACTCTACAGTTGAAGAAGTTGTTTGCTATTTATTGCCTTGTTTGGAAAGTATGTATTTCAGTGCCAATTTTACTATGTTAAAATACAAGGTTTATTATATAGTTGAATCAGAGTAAAATTACCCTTTATGGTAGCAGATGTTTGTAAAGGACCATAACGTTGTTATAAAACTTTACTACTTCTTCAGTTGACTGCAATAAATGATCACAAATTCCAGCGATCTGTAGTGACAGATGTGTTACATGTCTTTTTATGACACTTATTTTGGTATTGTTATTTAAAAAGGACCACAACACCTTGTTCTGAAGTGTCAGGAAAATAGCAGAACTGTGTATCATTTATAAGAGAAGAGGATTTGGAAGTTCTGTGGGTTTTGTAATTGTTCATCAGTCACTAACACAGTGCCGAAGCGTATCAAAGCATAAGGAAACTACGTGAGATGTGTTTCTGTGTGCTGACCGTGATGAAAATTTGTGGTCACTTTTATAACACACAATATGAAAATACCTTTACTTAGCTGGTGGTTGGTGTTTCATGTCAGACCAGCTGAGATGTGCAGCCTACATTCTAATGTCAGTATGGCTGTGCTCCCTCTTACATCTTTGTAACTGGTGGTAGGGGGTAGTCATGTCTAATTTTCCCAAGGACTTTTGTTGCAGAAGGGGTGGCACAGTAGAAAATGAATCATAGTTATAAAATTAGATTTTGGCAAATCCTGAGAAAAGAGCTCTATTTAAAATGAGTGCTGTGAAGAGCAGAACTAAGGAAGTCCTGTTTCCTATTAATGTGTTACACCTCTGGTAGATCCAGTGTCTTTCTCCATGTTTCCTTGTTGGGAAGAGAAGAGGGCAAGAGAGAGGGCATCTTTCTGCCCATCATTTCGCCCCTGGGGGCATTATTTGGACCTCTTTCCCAGCCACTGATTTTCACAGAGCTTGCAAGAACTTAATTGCCTTGGAAACTCCTCTCTCCTTGACACCTTTTCAGAATAGGTTGAAGTTACTCACTGGCTTCTAAAGTCATGAGGTTACACAGATATTGGCCTCCCATCCTTTGGAAATCAAGCTGATGAATAACTTCGACCCTATATATTTTCTTCAGAAATATTCAGCATCTCTCTGCATTTTTCTACTGTAAGAATGGAGGAGTTATTTTCCCCTCAAAGAACATCAAAAGTGCCAATTAAAGCTTACAGCAGTAAGACTTTGACATGCATTTTCCAGGCATTAAGTCTCCCCGTCAGCTATAGTCTTGGGCCTGTAAAAAAATCACATTTTTTAATGTTGCCATTTTTAGAATGAGAATGTTCAAAGCAGCTCTTTAAGGTCCTTACTTAACAAATTAATTCATAATAAAGCTGACATACCTGGCCATCAAAATGCAGTTCAAATCAGTGTTAGTCTTTGTCAAAATCAGGCGAGTTATGAAATGAACGGGTGGTCAGGTTAGTTCTACAAGCCAGATATGGAACTATTATTTACGCTGGGACTCTCTCCTAATCAGCTGCTTTAAAATTGAGTGACACCTAGCCGTCTGTGCTTGT